GGGGACGCCTGTCATTCCCAGCCCCATCCCCGGCGATTCGGCAGCTGTGCGTACGACAAGTTGCACCTTCGCTCGGCAAAAAAAAAGATCGTTCCTCCGTCCCAGATTCACACGTCAAGCACTCGACCACAGACTCACACCACGGTAATACGAAGAAGAGTTGCCAGTGTCACTACGCCTCCCCCACCACCTCCACCGTAAACATTTCCACTCCTGCAAACGCACGGAAACCACGAGGGAGGCGAGCAGGAAAGTTCGCGCCGATCGTGTCCGTTTTACAGATACGAGGCTTCGCTGCACAGCAGTGTATGTGGCGAATCGTGGCGCAGCTTTTTTTTACCCATGGCCACCAAGGATCAGATTTGTAAATGCACTGCGCCGCGACCCCACCGTGCACACGCTTAATAAAACGACGGTAGCTGAATCTGGGAATTCACACCAATGCGAAATGCAGATTGAGACTGCCTGGTACAATACGCTGGGTGAGTAATAACAGATCTACGTGTGTACTGACTGCAACAGTTGAAAGGGAGAGCCGGGTAACACGATCTAATAGAGCAAAAAAACACAAACAGCAATGCAAAATCCACAAGCAGCAAAACTGGTCCAAACATTGCATTAAAATATCAAGAGTGACTCAATATTCACATTAGATGGAAATGTTAACGAGAAATATAATATAAACAAAACACAATCTAAACGAGGAATTAACGTTAAGGTTGTTCCAGAAATAATTTGGATAATCATAGAACACCACTCGCCATTACATGTAAACGAGATTCTATGCTGTTCCAGGTTTCTTAAAATGTGAACGAAGCAACATTCTCAAAACCTACCATGAACTCTCACCACCTCATTTTGCCATTTTGTAGCGCATTTTACATTCTGATGGTTTGTAAACGATATAAGCATACAAGATACGCTTGACGGTAACTTATTTGTAAATGCCAACACGTAAATACTGACCCATGTGTGTCCCTCCATATTGAAAGTGGAACATTAACTCCTTAATGTATACTACCTAATAATACGACCCTAAACACAATACAGAGACAGCAAGCGGATGTGCAACTATTATACATTCGCACTCAAACAAGCCAAGGCCAGTTAATGCTTAAATGAGTATTAAGATGATACTCATATCCTGTTTACATTTTTGTGCCAGTGGTTAAAATTCCACATTCCTATGATGGGGACAAGTACATCCATGGGGCAAACCTTATTGACTACCTCTCAAAGTGATACTTTATTGACCAACCCTATGGAGTGATGATTGGCTGAGTCGAAGTCCACGACTAGGATTTGAGGTGATGAGAATCTGTATTGGCGGCATGGCTGGGTGTGAGTATGGCTGTGGTGCTGCGGTGGTGCGGTGGTTAATTCGCTGCGCTACAGACCTGAGTTCAATTCCCACTCACGGCCAATACAAGTGACAATTTTCTGTGCCTCCCCGAGGTCAACTCTAAAAAACCATTACCTGGTGCAGGGTGTAAACATCTCCTTTGGGGAGATAATGGCAGCTGGGCGTGGTGCTGGCCACCCACCCCTTTATGTACCTTGCTGGCATTCATAGGTGCTCGCTAATAGCACTTGCCCCAACAGTATGTTAAAGGCTATAAGGGGAATCTTTGTCTTTGTGTGATGCTGCAGTCATGCGTGAGTTCCTTCGGAAAGCCGAAGACGTGGTTTTATTTTTTGCCGGCCTCTCGGGAGGGGTTTCCCTGGCTCGGTGTGGACTAAAGAAGCACTTCCATGCGTGGGTGCTGCTGTGAAGTGCTCTTGGTTGCAAAACGCGCGTTATTAGTATAACCAACTAAAAGCATTAAGATAATAGAATTCGGCATAGCATATGTGTGTTCTGCGTGCGTGTATGTGTGCATGTTCATAGATATGTACTTCATTCATTCAGCGGGTGCATAATCGTCGAGCCATGCGGTTGCAATCTTCGACGGCAGTGTTGTACTTTACAACCTCCCCATTAGTGTGGGCTTAAGTACTTTAAAATTACACCTGGCCAGGTGGAACTATGGTTAGAGCATGTGACTCACAATCACAAGGTTGAGAGTTACACTTCAATGTGGACATCAAATCCAAAGCCATCATCCCCCCCCCCCCCCCACCCCTGTTTATGAAACAACTGATTGACTTTACTCTGTGGCAACCTATTTAAGACGACGAGTCTCCTTTGCAAGGGTGACCTGGGTCAATGTGTGACAATGGGTGGCGGCAGTGTTGGCCATGCACTTGGACTGTAATTCAGCACTGTGGAGGCAGCGAGAGTTGATGAATCACCAACAAATGTTGTAAAACTCCCTTCCCGTGGGCGTTGAGATGTCATACCCAGGAGAAGGCAGTGAGGCAAGTGGTCTAACCTACATCTGTGTCCATCTGTATGGGGATCGAGCGTTGCCACCTCACATGCGTGGGTTTCCTGCCACTTGAATAATAAACACCCAGTGATTGACAGAAAACATTTTAAAATATACACCGAATACAGGACCCATCAGAAAAGAACAGTCCTTGTGGCCTCCATGGGTAAGTAAAATAATTACGATCATTATTACATAAGAAGAGCAGTTTTAGACCTAAACATAGCTTTGAGATCTACAAGAGGCTCAGTCGCACATCAGTAATAGAATAAGATCATCAAAGTGAGCACAGAGAAACGGGTTGTGCCAAAACAAGTCACGGTAAACAAAGACACAGATCGCATCACTACCAGCAATTACGAACATTATGCTTTCAAAAACTAAATTGCAAAAATACGATCAAGTGAAGTAGCAAGGCGATAATACATAAATTGCACTCAAACTTTCCAAGAAGAGCATCCAATTTGTCATAAAATGCCAATTGAGAGGGAATGGACTTTAACTGTGGGTTTGATGGCAGATTATTCCAGGTACGGACAGCGTACATTGTATTTATTGAACTCAGTTAAGTTGAACGACACTAGATTTTTTGTTAATAAACACAGACAATGAATATCTCTCCAGCAGGGCAGTGGAGGTAGTCTGACTTCGACTTGGGAACAGTTTATGAATGGAGTGACCCCCGTTAAGAATGACGCAAGAGGCAGAGTTAATAATATGATCTAAATTATTATAATATGATCTAAGTTATTCGGGGCAATGCTGTGAGCAGAGTGTAATTTGCGGCACCATGGTGGCGGGATGTTAACTATCTTGCCGGATACACAGGAGGTCGTGGGTTCTATCCCGACTCTGACGCTTATATATTTAAAGTTTCCATGTTCTCCCCGTGGTCACGTGGATTTTTCTCCGGTTCTTACAGTTTTCCCCTCCACGTTTAGGAACATGCGTTTAGAGTATTTGGCTGCTACTATAAATTGCCACGTGATAAACCACTTCGTTGAGCTAACACTTGTGGGCAGGTCGCTTCTGAAAAAGAGTCATATAGCTCAGTGGCCATTACTTGGTAAAATAAACTTAGTAGTTTATAGTTGTTTTGCTATTTTCAGTTTCAACAATAACAAGTAGAGAAGAGCAAAGAATGAGGGTACACGGAGCCCCCTAGGAAACAAGAGGCAAAGCAAGAATAACGAAAGGGGGATCAAGGGAATACGCTCAAATATCAAAGAGAAAGGAAAGAGTGACGGCATGAATGCCGAGATGGAATAAGAGGGTCAAATCAGGAGCAAGTCGACACAAGGGGATCAAATATTCCGCTCAACGATATAGCGATCCCTCCGACCGAGAGAAAAGATTCACAAACAAATCATTGCCATCTGGTACTGGTGAAAGGGAGGATACTACGAGCTGAGTGGATTATTGAAGAACAATTTCTAAGCAAAAAATAGAAACCGAACTCACTCGAATTAAAAATGTATTTGTGGCATTTTGAGTGTGCATATTTTGAAATTCAAATGGTAATTAATCCACTTGCCCAGAATCTCTTTAAGAGTTTAAATTTGCAATGTGCTAAAATAAAAAAATAAAAGTTGTCTCATGAAATTACGCCACGGTTGGGAATTGAAAATAACCTGTGCCCTAAAAAAAATGCATTACATTTTTCCAACATTCAAGGGGAGTTTGAGAGAGATAAGATCACGTTGAATGTTACCGTAACCTATGTCTGATCTTGCTTGTACATTATCAGCCGAATAGGTAGGTGTGTGGATAATAATAACGTTATCAAAGAAGTACAATTCTGAGTGGGTTAACTTTGAACCGAGATCACGAATGTGAACGAAAATAGGTGCAGGCCTAGAATCGAACCTTCTGGGACTGCTTTTGAGATAGTGGAGAAATCTGAATTAAGTTTTCTCTCAAAATATTTTTCCATTGCTTTATGCTCTTAATATAGCACTCAAATTCAACCAAGGGGCCTAATATGGTATTTTAATCTTGCCATTAGGATTGTATCCTTAAACAGTCAAACAACTTTTTAAGTCAATAAAAACGGCCAAGCAGATTTGTTTATTTAATCTAGAATGCCATACAGTTATGGCGGCTATTGTGATTATACCGCATATTTGATCCTGCATGATATCCTATGTGCGATAAGAATTGACATTTATGGTGAAAATTGCCATTTTTGTTTGGATTTTTACACCACTTAATTTCAATTAGACTTTGGCTCTAGAGGTTTGATGGACACGAAATTAACTAAACCATCATATATTTTACCAGGTAAGGCCCACTAAGATATAAAGCTCTCCCTCAGAAGCGACCTGGCCACAAATGGTAGCTCAACAAAATGGTTTATCACGTGAACATTTATAGTAGCAGCCAAATACTATAAATGCATGTTTCTCAACGTGAAGCGAAGAACCGGAGGACCTGGAAGAAAAATCCACGCGACCACGGGGAGAACATGCAAACCCCAAATATACACGCGTCAGGGATGGGATCAAACCCACGACTTCCTGCATATCAGGCGAGGCAGAAAACATCTCGCCACCGTGGTTCAGCCACACCACATTCAGAGTGACACATGGGAAGGGAGGGCAGACACGATCCCTCAGACACGCGCGCTCTGACCTCTGGAGGCTTTCTCGGAGGGCGTCAGGCTGATCGTCTGATCCACGGGTTCGTTGAAAATGAAGATCATGTAGCGATGGAACCCACTGCCCGATGGAGGCGACGGTGGGTTGTAATCTGAAAGTTCAAAAGGCGATAACCACGCATTATTAGTATCATGCAACAACCGAGACAGAAGCCTGCAGGTTCAAATACCAATTAGTGGTCGACTAATCCCCTCATCCTTCTGAAGTCAATGAAATGACTACTACTTTTTGTGAAACCAAGAGTTGTCAGCAATGTTATACTCGCACCTGCCGTAGCAATTTACAAAGTCCACTCCTCGGTTACGGTTGCCAACAGTGGCCCAACGAATGGTGAAGGTCACAGTTTTACTTTGTTGCCTTTTATACTGCTGGTGAATGGTGGCTTTTGTCTGAGCACTGAGCCAGCACCAATGAGATCCTGATTCCAATTCTAGGTTTCAGCCGACCCATAATTAAATGAAATTCTCTATCGTAGAACGTTTAGTCTCTAAAGTGTAGAGAGTTGATAGTCTGGCCTGGTCACAAACGAGTGTACGTGCGATCAGGTAAAATTGAGGTATTTCATAATCCAGCTCTGAGGACTAAGATTTACAGATGCTCTGCACACAGTGAATAATTATTTACAGAAACACAATGGTTGAGTTACGTTAGTAAGATCCGTTGCCATAGGATAGGGTAGCCTACACACACACAAAACCACTCGAAAATGTAATTTTCAGACATTGGTTACTAGGCTGAGGCCATCAATTTCACAATAGTTAAGAAACTGACTTGTATCATGTTAAATCCTGGGGTTTTAATCCACAATCACGGCATTGATGGCTCAGCGCTCTAATGTTAGCATACAGCATTTCACCCGCTACAAATCAATCCCCTCAGAGCATTTCCCAGCCTAAGAAAATGTCACACGTTCCAGAGGTCTAAGGAATAGACAGAGGCATACAGTACATTTAAATGGTTCGTTGAAATGCATTGTTTTTTCCTCTCCAAATCAATGTCTATAATTAGTTTAAAAAGCAGCTCTAGATTCCTTACAACTTTTGCAGGTGTAAATACACTGACACATTCAGCCACAGAAGTCTGAATTCAAAGTCAATTATGTTTTTATTGTGCTTTTTTGTATAAATGCAACATTAAGATTAAGTTAAAGTGAAACATCTGCTCCTAAATTCAAAGCGATTTAAATTCATTAGTGAGTAAATGTTTCGCATTTGTTAAACCGCTAATAACCTATCAAACCTTCGCAAATATTTATGCAATATAGTAATGGCAAAGGCACATTGAAATTGCCTTTTGAGGAGTTCATGTGGGAGTTATATGGGTGAACGTAAAACAAATTTTCTCAAACGATGTTTTATCCCAACGTAGCAGCACAATTAATCAAGTGTTCATCTGGTGAGCACCCATTAACAGCAGAGCATGAATGCGTGCCACTCTTAAAATATTCCACATCGCACCTCGTGCACAGCATGGGCACAAAACAGGTCATGTTAATTAATCCTCTATTCGCATTTGTTACCTGAATTGTGGCGCAAAGCCATACTTTGAAAAATGAAGCCATTACGAAAAGTGTAACTTTCTATAATTTCCCATTTCTTTCCAACTTTGACAACTTTTCAAATTGACTTGTGGGCTAGCGAGCTGAATTCAATTCATCCAAGTCATTAAGCATGCTGGATGGATCTGACTCAGCCCTGCTTGCTTTCCTCAAAAGGGACCGGACTTTAACTCTTGCAATCTCAATACTTAAAGAAAATCTAGCTGAGTGGCATTGTTGGCTAATGTGCTCGGCTCACAATAAGGTCACGCGTTAGAGTCCTGGTCGCATGTTGGAATCTGCCCATCATCCATCAATTGTTACAATGGGTACCACTTCATGGGAAATCAACAATGGTTATTCTATGGAAACGAGCTCCTGTCATCGGAATGTTGAAATTTCACGATTGGCTCATGGCCAGAAAGATCAATTCCACCCAATGCTCCTGTAAGTAAGAAGACAACGAATTTTAACTTTCACATGATTGTTATATTGTGGAATGTATTTGTTATTGCTAAATATGTGATTGTTCTAACGAATTATTTACATTTATTTTACCATATATCTCAAAGGGATCCCGATTTTATCCTACAATGTTGGCCCAGCTACTGTTGTTAGTGAGCATCTATTAACATCAAAAGGTAGTTGTGTCAAGCTTACCCATATAAAGGAATAATTTGTAATCAATAGCGGTCCTCTCTGGGAGTGGCTGTCTCCCACCAAGAGAATGTGGAATTTCCACTGCCACCTCAGGGTCATCAATAGAGATGGGTGCTATCACTATGTTCATTTCAGAATGGAGATACATTTCCTTGGCTTTTAATTATTATTATCACTCTCATATCCTAATACCATTGCTAAACGAATAAAAAACCAGTGTGTTTAGAAATGAAGCACGTAAACAGACCAGTCTCAGTTCAATATCACTTATAAAAAGTTGATGTTTGAGAGCAAAATGATTTTTTTTTACAAAACGAAATCCTGACGCTCTGCAGTAAACAATCGCATTACTCTGTGGCCTCTGTAATGAATAATTGACATCTCCAAAGGAACAACAGAAGGGCATTGCGGCAGCCCTGGTTTGCATCCCTCTATAGGATGCACTGCGTGGCACGGGATAATTAACTAAAACTATTAAAAAATGTATTTTCCAGGAAAAGCCCACTATGCTAAATACAGTGAGGGAAAAAAGTATTTGATCCCCTGCTGATTTTGTACGTTTGCCCACTGACAAAGAAATGATCTGTCTATAATTTTAATGGTAGGTTTATTTGAACAGTGAGACAGAATAACAACAAGAAAATCCGGAAAAACGCATGTCAAAATTTTTATAAATTGATTTGCATTTTAATGAGGGGAATAAGTATTTGACCCCCTCTCAATCAGAAAGATTTCTGGCTCCCAGGTGTCTTTTATACAGGTAACGAGCTAAGATTAGGAGCACACTCTTAAAGGGAGTGCTCCTAATCTCAGCTTGTTACCTGTATAAAATACACCTGTCCACAGAAGCAATCAATCAGATTCCAAACTCTCCACCATGGCCAAGACCAAAGAGCTCTCCAAGGATGTCAGGGACAAGATTGTAGACCTACACAAGGCTGGAATGGGCTACAAGACCATTGCCAAGCATCTTGGTGAGAACGTGACAACAGTTGGTGCGGTTATTCGCAAATGGAAGAAACACAAAAGAACTGTCAATCTCCCTCGGCCTGGGGCTCCATGCAAGATCTCACCTCGTGGAGTTGCAATGATCATGAGAACGGTGAGGAATCAGCCCAGAACTACACGGGGGGATCTTGTCAATGATCTCAAGGCAGCTGGGACCATAGTCACCAATAAAACAATTGGTAACACACTACGCCGTGAAGGACTGAAATCCTGCAGCGCCCGCAAGGTCCCCCTGCTCAAGAAAGCACATATACATGCCCGTCTGATGTTGCGATTGAACATCTGAATGATTCAGAAGACAACTGGGTGAAAGTGCTGTGGTTAGATAGACCAAAATAGAGCTCTTTGGCATCAACTCAACTCGCCGTGTTTGGAGGAAGAATGCTGCCTATGACCCCAAGAATACCATCCCCACGTCAAACATGGAGGTGGAAACATTATGCTTTGGGGGTGTTTTTCTGCTAAGGGGACAGGACAACTTCACCGCATCAAAGGGACGATGGACGGGGCAATGTACCATCAAATCTTGCGTGAGAACCTCCTTCCCTCAGCCAGGACATTGAAAATGGGTCGTGGATGGGTATTCCAGCATGACAATGACCCAAAACACATGGCCAAGGCAACAAAAGAGTGGCTCAAGAAGAAGTACATTAAGGTCCTGGAGTGGCCTAGCCAGTCTCCAGACCTTAATCCCATAGAAAATCTGTGGAGGGAGCTGAAGGTTCGAGTTGCCAAACGTCAGCCTCGAAACCTTAATGACTTGGAGAAGATCTGCAAAGAGGAGTGGGACAAAATCCCTCCTGAGATGTGTGCAAACCTGGTGGCCAACTACAAGAAACGTCTGACCTCTGTGATTGCCAACAAGGGTTTTGCCACCAAGTACTAAGTCATGTTTTGCAGAGGGGTCAAATACTTATTTCCCTCATTAAAATGCAAATCAATTTATAACATTTTTGACATGCGTTTTTCTGGATTTGTTGTTATTCTGTCTCTCACTGTTCAAATAAACCTACCATTAAAATTATAGACTGATAATTTCTTTGTCGGTGGGCAAACGTACAAAATCAGCAGGGGATCAAATACTTTTGTCCCTCACTGTAGCTCTTTTCAGAAGTGATCGGGCCGAAAATAATAGCTCAACGAAGTGGCTTATTACGTGGAAATGTATAGCAGCTAAAGGCTCGAAACGCACGATTCTAAATGTGGAGGGGTAAGAACCGGAGGACCTTGATAAAAAGCCTCGCGATCACAGGGAGAACATGCAAACTCCAAATATACAGCAGCAGGCGTCAGTGGCGGGATTGATCCCATGACCTCCTGTACACCTGGCGAGGTAGTTAACATCTCACCACAACGGCGCCCTAATGGTGTGGCTGCCATCCTAACATTGCTCCCTTGGTTGACTAGGTCTTGAATAGGTATCTGGCCCAGCGTGTGTAAAACACCAGCACTGGGTAGAAAAAAGGTTGCCAAGCGTAGTTGGTGCTGGCCACACCCCGCTCCCTCGCCAGCCGTGATGACCTCCATGGGTGCTATTAGCCAACTGCACTTGCCCCAACTACTTGTTACCACTGACGAAGCCAGTGGGGGGGGGGGGGGTGGTGGCACGTGCCCCTCCAATGATCCGAACTAAATCCCTAATTTCGATCGGATCATTGGGGTTTGTTAGTAATAAATCGGCATTTTGTGACCGCCACTGCCACTGTGTAGCATATTGGTATGTGCCAGGGACTCTATGAGATGATAGGACAATAGTCTGAGTCCATAATTGGCAATAAGTAACGGCAAAGCAGTTAGAAGTGACTGACAGAATTGTGCGCAGTTGCGTATTCAGTACACGACTTCCCTGAAGGCATCAACACCTTCAGCGAGCGCGATGCCGACCACACAACGCGGTTCGAATTCGACCCTCGATCGA